CGAAGTCAGAATCATAAACCCCTCACGGTTCAATCAGAATCTGTGATTTGGTGGTCCACGAGTCAAAGCGCTCCCGGCACAGGCAAAGATCCCACGAAAGCAGTGATCCAAACAACGATCCTGCGTTTATTTTCTCAAGAGTTGTAATTTTCTTTTTGTTGTGTAAAAGAGTCTTATAAAAAGGCTGTTTTCTTTGAATTTATTGTAATCGACTAAAGATATAATGAATTCGACAACAAAACCGACTTTTGGCGAAAACAGATACGTCGCTCGATGGCTCATTAGTTCGTGTTGAGCCGTGTTAAGGGACCTATGTTGAGCCGTCTTAAGGGATCTATAAGCAATTTTATATGCCTACAGATACCCCCTCCAAAGTATTTCAGTCTCGTTCTTTTATAGAGAAGTCTGGAATACTTTGGATATGACTGTCCCAACCTTCAATCGGTGTAACGGGCTCTTGGAATAGCTTCTATTCTCGATTCCTTCAATCCTCCAGGCTATTCGGTGCTTTGTCGAATGCTTGAGAGGGTTCCGGTGCTGTATTTATTGTCTGACCGTTGTCAGAATTTTGAATTTGAAGTCGATTCTTGATTTCCTAGCTTTTTAGCTCGAGTTAGTTGCTTCAACATGAGATTGACCATCGGTTGACGGCTTTGAATCTTCATTGTGACGCGTTGTCCGGCGTTTAACACAGTTTATACTCGTAAGTATTTTGGAGTCTACACAGTTTAAGCTCTTAAGGAGTTGGAGCGGGGAGGTCTAGTTTATACTCATACACTCCTGGGAGTTATGTTGAGCTATTCTTAAGAATATTTTTAGAAAAATATTCTCCAGAAACTTCTCAACAAAGAGAAGGGAATAGTTTATACTCGTATACCTTATTGGAGTATTCTTTAGGTTCAAATAATCTGAACCGGCCCAAAAAATGTGCCAAAAAGGTAGTATTTGGGTTCAAAAAATCTCTCCGACCCTTCCAAATATATGGTAGAGGGGTTAAATAGGTGGAGGACTGAACCGTAGGTTGATCTAAGGTCATTCCAATGCTTAATTCAGCCCCAATTTGAATTCTGGTTCAAGTTTGGTTCAAACTGGTTCAATTTGGTTCAATCTGACTCAATCTGGCTCAATTTGGCTAATTCTGGTCTGGTCTGGTCCAGCCAGGCTCAATTCTGGCTCAATTTGGCTCATTCTGGCTCAATCGGGCTCAACCTGGCTCAATTTGGCTCAATCTGGCTTGGTCTGGTTCAGCCCTGGTCTGGTCTGGTTCAGCCAGATCTGGTTCAAGGCTATAAAAGGGTTCTTTTTTCTTCTTTCTTTTCTTTTTCTTTTTCTTTTCTTTTCTCCCTAGGGCCGGCCGAACCCCTCCCCTCTTCTCTTGATTTCTCTTCCATCGAGCACCCATTCTTTTTAAATCTTGATATTTGTCTTGGATCTGGCTTTCCTTTGAATCGTGGACTGAGGAATCTCCCAAAATCTCCAAATAAAAAGTTTCTCTCAGGCCCCTCGAGCGTGTGGTTCAAGTTTCCTTAAAGGTCTCGCCTTTATTGGATTTTGGGCTTTTCTTCAGGTAAATCCTCCGCCATCTTGATCTATTTCATGTTTGATCTAGTATATGGAGTCGCGGGATCACATATAAGGGTTGAGGGTGTGATTTGATGCCTCAAACTTGTCTTTTTTAGGGTAAAAATGGGATTTTTCCTTTTCTAGATCTAATCCTTCAATTTACCTTGCAGGTTTCTATGTCCCGTATGGCGAGGGGTCAATCCTCTACCGTGCCGACTGATGGCGCGCCTCCCTCTTATGCCGGTGAGCCACTTTTTTCTGGAAATTTACAAATTGGTCCATTTTTTCTTGGAAATTTGCAAATTGGTCCTTTTAACCCCACGTTGTTCTCCTTGGTGAGGCAATCGGGAAGAGCCTTGATTCTCCTTGGTGAGGATCGACGCTTTGAAGATAGAAATTTTACAAATTAACCCTCTTTTTTCTGGAAATTTGCAAATTGGTCCTTTTAACCCCACGTTGTTCTCCTTGGTGAGGCAATCGGGAAGAGCCTTGATTCTCCTTGGTGGGGATCGACGCTTCAAAGATATGTTTTGCTTGGTCAAAACACTATCTCATAATAAATAAAGGGGGCGTTTTGTCGCTGCGTTGTGCCTTATAAGGCAGGGATATATTATCGATATACCCTATCTTATGAAGGCGCAACGTGGCCAAAACGTCACACCCTTTATAAGGCAATGACTCTATCTTACCCCTTCGTAAGATGAGTTCAATTTCCTTTTATAACTGGAATTAACAAACGTTTAATTGCTTGTTCTCAGTTGAATACCCTTCTGGAGCGTTCTCATCTCACGCAGTATACGGGCGTCGTGGCGAGTATTATTCGACCTCCGACGATGTTTCCCCTATCCCAGTCACTCCTCAGTTCGTTTTGGGCACATCGACTGAGGTTGTCCAGGCGGTGAAGGAAGGTGGGCACCGAGCTCTTCGACAGTTGATTACCGATGCACCTCTTGTGAAGGACGCCAGTTCCGTTCAGTCTCTCAGGAAGACTGATTTCTTGTTTGGCGATTCTGTCAGAGACCCCGATGCAGCATTTATTGACGCCAAGCAGTGGCTTCATAAGACTGGCAATGGCTTCTTCTATTTACCGAAGATTCCTCGGCACCGTTCCTTGACTGAGCTCAGGCGTCAGGCTGTGAAACGGGAGATGTCGTGGCGCTTGACAGAGGAGCACGAGAGCGTTCACTGCGGCTACATTACTCATCAGGAAGTTCCTGGTTCGAGCAGGAATCATATTGTTGGACTGCGTCCTGGAGTACTAGGGCTAGATGCACCGCCCCGTAACGAGTTCCTTGCCTCTGCTTCCACTTTGAGGAATCACCTCGCTAACTTAAGACGGGAGATGCCAGCGCCGCGCCATAGATTCTATGGTTGGGTCCATTCTTTGGACAAGTTTTGGTGGACCCGTATGACGACGTATGTCTTGAGCCGATGGGGCGAGGAGTTGCACGCTTGTGGTTTATATACAGCCGTTCGTGCCACCATGTATGGCTTGCCTGTCAGCGCAAGGCATTTCTGTGCTTTGTTCGAGCTTTATAATTCAGATTCGAACACTTTTCTGACCCGGCAAGGGGAATTGGGCTTGGCTCTTCACGAGATGCACAGGATTTCTGGCTTACCCATGGGACAGATGTTGTATCAGGAATACTTTCCCTCCAACCATGAATTAAGTCTGCTGAAGGATCGTATGCCCGATCGCTACGAGACTCTATGGGATCTCACTTGTCACTATCATATAGCTTTGGCGCAGTCTGAGCCTTTAGCAAAGAGGACTAAGACATTCGTGAGTCTGAAGCAGTTTGCCAATTATTTGTTCAAGAATCTGGAGAGTAATTCTGGCGAGGCTATTTGTGAGTTGGCCCCACTTACTCCCTCAGGGGTGAACATTCTGATGAAGAAGATTGACGCTCATTCTTATACCACTAGCAGTTCTGAGGGTGGTTTTCCTGCAGGGACCAAGTTCAAATCATTCTTGTGGCATGCTACCGCACCGATTCGACCCATGACCCTTCTTGCCGGTTTCCTCGCTATTTGGTTAAAGAAATGCGTGGTCTCGTACCAGTCTTGTGACGCTCTGCCCTTGGAAGTACTCTATCCAGCAGTTCAGCTTGCCTACAAGAAAGAACTCTCACTTCTTCCGGTGATGGTGGCTAACATTCACCGAGGGCTTCGACAGCTTTCTGGTGCCTTTACACGGGAGGAAAAGGACTCGCCGACTCAGATTCCCACCCTTAAGACAGAGCTCCCGTACACTTACTTGATGGCTTGGTTTGTCCTTCACCGTCCCGATATGATGTCGGTACCGAGTGCCACAGATCATTCCGTTCCTTTACTACAATTGCTTGAGAACGGCAAGTGGGAGGGGCGCGGATTTTCTGACGTCAGGCAGCAGCTGCAGGTCCACAAGTGTTGGACATTTTCCACTTGCTTTCCGCAGTTCTCCGGACGGCGGATTTTCTGACATCAGACAGCAGCTGCAGGTCCACAAGTGTTGGACATTTTCCACTTGCTTTCCGCAGTTCTCCGGCCGATACGGCGATAGTTTGACAGATGAGGAGAGGCCGAGAGAGTATCGAACTCACTTGGACATCGGGTGCTTCAACTGGCTGGTAAATATTAGGCCAGGTTATTTGACTTTTCGGGTGAGGGATCAGTGCTTCATAGAGCCATATCTACCCTGTCGATTCGCTCGTCAGTTTGGCTACGATCAGCTTTACGTCGGGAATCCTCGTCAGCAGCTTCGTGCCCACGGTGGTTTGGTAGATGGTCTCCGTGCGTGGTTGTGGACCGTGACTGGCTGTACTGGTGCTAAATTCAGTCTCCCGAGTGCTGATCGGCAGTTGAACCTTACTTTCTTAAGCTGCAAGTGGTTGTTAGCAGCCAACAAGACCATTCCCGTGAAGCCGATTGCAGAGCTAGAGGCCGAGGAAGCTTCTCAGGTTGATTCCCGTAGGATTTGGGAAAATGCCCGATCATAGAGGACACGGAACAAGACTCGTCGGATTGATGAAAAGGGAAAGAAGACCTTTCATTCCGCAGACGAGGCTTCAGGCGGAGATCCTGAAGGTTATGAAGACTTTTCTGAGCGAGGTTTGCTATTCATCTTTTCCTTCCATCTTCTAGAAACATTGAAACTGACTATGGTTTGATGTTTCAGGGACCACAGTTGACCAGGATGAAGAGTTCCGTCCCCCTCCCCAGGCGAGACCTTCGATTATTGTCCCTGCTGCTAGGCGGAAGAGATTAGCCCGCAAGCCGCGTGCAGCTTCCCGAGCATCTGATATGGACTTGGCTGGTGATGATCCTGCTAGTGACGGAGGTAACATCTACTCCGTAAACCACCTTCTTGGTTATTCGGAACATTGACTCATACTTTTCCATCTCTATATAGGAGATCGTGGAGAGAGCGAAATGAGTCCCGATTCCATTCCTGTGTCTCCTAGTGAGCCTGACCCGCTGCCCCAGTTTACGAGGCCTACAGGGGTTGCTGACGTCAGGGAGGATAGCAATGTAGGACCTGATTCTGCAGACCCAGGTACATCTACTATTGACAATGTATCTTTTAGATGGTATACAAAAGAATTTGTGTATCCTCTAATCATCTCTGTACACCTTGCTTCTTCAGATAACCTGCAGGAGGCATCCGTGGATTTTGGGAATAAAGAGGCTAACACATCCATGAGGGGTAACTCATTTCTGTTGGTTGTAGTCTCTTTATTCTTCTTTGGTACTCATATTCTTTTACATCAGATTTCTCCATTGATGATTTTGATGAGGAAGGCTTGATAGCGGACACTCCTACACTCCACTTCATGTATAGCTCTCCTCAGTTTGATGGCCAGCTACCTGGAGACATATTTTTCGAACCCACGTTCGATAAGAATCTCGAGGATGATTCTTTCGAAGGTATATGCTTCCTCCCAGATTAATTATAGGACTAGTCAATTTTGACTAATACAGCTATAATGTGATGCCTCTGAGAATTCTGCTTTGTATTTAACAGGAGTTTTTGTTGAGAATGACCCCGTTGAGCCGGCTATGGGACCAACTACATCCGTTGATACACCCCCAGTCGTTATACCTTCATCACCCCCAGTGACTCAAGAGGGTATGAATACTATTTATTTACTCTCCAAGGTCTTTTTCTGACGGTTTTGTCTTCTTTTATCGTGCAGGGCCTTCTTTTCATCTTCATATTCTGGCAAGGGAGTTGTTATCTGATGATGATCCTGAGAGGATTGTCATCTGTATAGAAGTCCGCTCCTTCTTCTCTTTCATGAATGCTATGATTGGCAAGCTTTTCCACGGCGGGCTTTCTCTTCACCAGTTTAAGCCGTTCCTTGATCTTAAGATAAATTCAATAAAGGACGCAGGGTACCCGGATCTGGCGAAGGCTATTGTTGATGATCTTGACTACCTAGCGCGTGAGCTTCAGACGTTTTGTGACCTCCGGGATGCAGGTGCCTCCTCATTTATTGCTGCCGAGCTGGACACCCGTTTACAGTCATCACACGAGACTCAGGTTCTTGCTGATCTCGAGATTCAGATGCAGCGGGGCCGAGTAGATCGAGTTAGGAAGAGTCTTGCTACTAAGTTATCTTCGCTTGCCGAGCTCGATCTTTCTATTACCTCCTGTGCGACCGAGATCTCCCTTAGACTTCGTGCTATGATGTCGAATACATAGACTTCGCCATTGTTACGGGAATAGGCTACCCGGCGACACGTGTTAGGTGTTGACTTTAGGATTTTTGGCTAACCCCCAGCCTTCAACGGGTTTGATTAGCCTTTACCGACTACCGTTTGAGTCGGGCTAGCATGCGAATTGTCTAAATCCGTTTCGCATGTGATGTTGTGCTAAGGGAATGAACTCCCTTAGACTTTTGTGCTACAACTTTGAATATGTAGGCTTCGCCATTGTTATAGGAATAGGCTACCCAGCAACGTGTTTTAAACGTTGACTTATCCCTACTTAGGCTTCGGGATAAAATACCCCAGATTGGTATTCTGGTGTCTTTTTCTATGGCGAAAGACTAAACCAGCGGCGCGTGTTAGGCGTCTGCATATCCTTTCTTAGGATTCAGGATGAAATTCCCCACGCGTGTAAGGCATGGATTTTGGTGTTATTAACAACACCCTGCCACAATGTTGAATATGTGGACGGGTGTTCTTTTTAGCGGTTAAGAACTAACCGGCAGCGCAGGTTATGCACAGACTTATCCTTACTTAGGTTTCAGGACAGAATACCCCAGAATCGAACTCTGGTGTCTTTTTGTACGGAAAAAGACTAAACCGGCAGCGCGTGTTAGGCGTAGACTTATCCCTGCTTAGGATTCGGGATAAACTTCCTAGGATGAATCCTAAATTGACAAATTTTGGAAGCGATCAATGTGGAAAAGGAAGAATTTTATATTCTATTTCCCGGTCTTCTTTTAGGGTGAAGGCAAACCCGGAAAACAAGGAAGGAAGAATTTTATATTCTATTCCCTGATTCTGGAAAGGAAGAATTTTATATTCTATTTCCAGGGAAAAAGAAACTAGAAGTGGGATCTCCACTCCGAGAATCTGGAAAATTTAGATAAACTTGCCTTTTATAGGATTGGTTATCTAAATTGAAAAAAAGAGTTCTTCGTTTATCGAAGTGAAGTTTCAACTTTGGCTATAACCATGGGAAGATTTAACCAAAGAGAAGAGAAATGAGTTCTTTCGTTTATCGAAAGGGGACTCTGATCTGAAAGGGGACCTTCTCGTCTATGGACAGAGTCAAGAGGGTCAGATGGACATTTTTGGTGGACCCACTGTCAATTGAAACTGATCAGTGAGGGATTTTGGTGGAGAAAGTTAAAAGCCCTTGACATCCTGGCTTGGTAAAACTCGATGTGTTGTTGAGCCTCCAAACGCTTTTCATCCAGCCTCTCGAGCTCTTCGAGACGCTTCTGATGTTGTTCCTCCGTCGTCATCTCCGTTGCGAGGGCGATCCGAAGGGACGGAATCTGAATTTCCAGCGGTAGCACAGCTTCACATCCGTATACCAGCGAATACGGGGTAGCTCCCGTAGGCGTGCGTATGGTGGTGCGATAAGCCCAGAGTGCTTCACCGAGTTTATCGTCCCAGTCTCGTTTATTGGTCTTCACGAGCTTGGACAGGATCTTAATGATCGTCTTGTTAAACGCCTCCGCTAATCCATTCGCGGCGGGATAATAAGGTGTTGATGAAACGTCTTCAATTTTGAACTTGTCACAAAATCTGATGAAGGCGTTGCTTATAAATTGCGGACCGTTGTCATGAATGATCCTTCTTGGCACGCCGTGTCTGTAGATGACATGATGCTTGATGAAATTGATGACGTTGTTCGTCTTTACTTCTTTAAGCGGAATTGCTTCAGCCCACTTTGAGAAGTAATCCGTGATCGCCAGAATGAATCGATCGCCTTTGACTGAGGGGGGAAAAATAGGACCAACAATGTCCATGCCCCATACTTCGAACGGCCATGACGTGGTTGATGTGTGCAACTGCTCTGGCGGTTGATGAATATAATTCGCATGTATTTGACAAGCGTGGCATTCTCGTGCGTATTCAATTGCGTCACGAACCATCGTTGGCCAGAAATATCCCATCCTCCTGATGCGATCATACAGTTTGGGACCGGGCTGGTGCGCACCACATTCTCCTTCGTGTGCTTCCTTAAGAACTTCTTTTGCTTCTTTATGTGACCCCTACGGTATAACGTATGGGTCTCGGCATTATAAAAGAATCTTGGCGCTCTTCGGCGAATTGACTCCCTTTCTTTTACGTCTTCTGGCAGAATACCATACTGGACATAGTCAATGATGGGAAAACGCCAATCTCGGGACTCAGACCCAATTTGAGTTGAATTCACCTCTTTGGCGTTTATGTTTCCGTCATCTTCTTCTTCAGTATCCCTACTGTATATGGGTACGCAGAGTTGATGCGTCCGTACTGTGACTAACAGCTCAGTT